TATTATCACTATTTTGGTTCCCCATGTGAAAACTTTTTGTAAACATGTGTTTTGAAATGAAAAATGAGTATTTTATACTGTATATATATGAAATATTTGTACTTATACATACATATATAATACCTATATGGACCATTATACAGGATTGTAACTAGACTTCTCTTGTTAAGAACGGACAACTTTTATCGATTCAATTGTATTATACATACTGATATTATTGTACACAAGTACTTAACGTATTAGCCTAAAAGGTAACCTAATCCTAACTATATTGTTTTCGAGTATTTTGTATTTTTAGAATAAATTAGTTTATCATAGTAAAAAAAAAAATAGTGTAATTAGTTTTATCACACTTTCGTCTGGAAACACCAGATTCATAACAATAACTTAACACAATAATATTAGATACATTACAATACGGTGCAGCGACTTACAAAAAAATATACTAACGATGACTAAGATTTAAACAAAAAACTTGTTGACCTCACTTTTGATATGGTCCCACTAAAAAGAATGTTCAAGGTAACTACACCGCAAAGGCCTTTGCCGTTACTATTTTCCGCTTGTGTTAGATCAGTGGTCCCCGACGTTATTTCGTATACATATTATTATTGTCTTGTTTGGTCCATGACGTGACGGTTCACCATAGGAGATCTTAATAGTGCATGCAACATGGTCGTTTTATTTGGTTCGGCTATAAGCAACTCAAGTTTTATACCGTTCATGTACTTATCCGGTTATCTACGGTTAGAAGAATCCAGTAGAACCCACCGATTACGATTATTCGATAAAAACATTTTAAACACACAATGTGTGGAGTTGAAAAGAAAAATGCGGTAAAATAGTACGTACAGATAAAAATATTATATTTCCACTGCTTTACTAACACTTATAAATACTATGTTAACTCCAAAAAATATTATGCTAACATTTTTAATAATCTATTCTTTAGAATAGCAATCTTACAAGTATTTTTTTTTTTTAATTCGAAATAGTTTCCCAAACAATTTAACACGATCTCTCAAGTTGAAATTCTGACATACGTTAACTTAATTAATATAATTGGAGGAATGAGGTCGAATATAAACTGGTAAAAAACAGAAAACCATCAGTCTATATGAAGAGTGACTCCTTATTTTATATTTTTAGATCAAACTTTGCTATAGTTATTACGTATCATCAGTTTACATATATATATATGGTGGGGTAAAAGAGACTTAAATTTAGATAAGAGGGGATGGTGTGTTAGTTAAAGATTATAGAAAAACAGGTAAAAATTGGCTGAAGGGTACAATTACTGATAATATTAGTCATAATACTCATAAAGTAGTTTTAAATGATAGTTCTGAATGGATAAGGCACAATGATCAGATATGGCCACAAGGTCAAAAAGAAAATGGGTTATCTCCCGCTTCTAGTTATTCAGACACGCCTAGTGTTGACCAAGCAAACTCCGATTCTATTGAAATTACTGTACCAATAAATACTACAACACAAAAATCTCCAAGATCCGTTAGGATTATTTTTGCATACTATAAAAACATATTTACTACACATAATTATTATTTTTGCATAAAATATTGTTATTGTAATTTTATATTGTTTTCGTAATAATTTGTATTATCTATCTATATAATATTAAAAATGTAATTATAATATGTAAGTATATTATTTTTTATTTTATTTTAAATATAAAAAAAAGGAAAGAGGTGTTACTTATCAGCAGTTTATATGAATATATACGGTGGGGATTGTCCACCATACGCGAGTGCTACACCGGCACAACTTGTAATTAGTATAATTTGGGTTTCATAATAAACATCAGTGAATATTATTATTTATATTAATCTAATTGTTTTTTAATTCATACTAAGGTATAACAATAGTTTATATCATAAATTAGACAGACTGATGATTTATAATATAAAAATAAACTGAAAAATCTGTAATCGACTTACAGAAATTTTGTGTTTTTTTAAAAATTATTCTTAGAATATAATTATTTTCACAAAAACACTAGATTCTAAGTTTTTAGATGAACATTTCAAATTTTATTTTCTAGTTATTCCGCGGATTTTGTTATTTATAGGATTAAAATGTCTTTCTACTATTCATATATTTTCGTAGAATTATTATTATTGGATGGCCCGAGGCAAAATATCCTTTTAAAACAACCCACGTTGTTTGCTTACAGTAATAAGTATATAAAAATATACGTGTATACATGTTTACATAATACAGTCTGCTCCAATCCAGATTAAAATTATTATTATTAGGAAACAGACAAGTAGTAAAAAATATTTATTAACAGTATAAATTCATGCTTATTATTTATTTTATCGCATTTTAAAGTCTACTGACAATATTAAAAATACTGTTAAATAAAATAATTACGGCATTATACATAGATTTCAAATTTTCTCCCTTCGTATTTAATATTTATTTACTATATATATATATATATATGTATTATGTATGTTTTACTGATTCTTAAAGTTTTTTTTAGTTTTGGCTTCGATGCGACAGCTAAGAAGGTATTAGTTTTATACTGGTGTTTTTTTGTGTGTTTGAAATCACTATAACTTTCCTGTGGACCAATTTAATCGACTAGCATCTTTATCGATTCGCAATCGTATGCGTTTTGTACTTTGGTGGATCAAAAGTAGAAAGTTGGAAGTTTTTTTAATTTTTTAGGCGCAATTTACATGTACTTGGTATATTCTTACTGTTTTCAAATTCGCATCGAATCACTAGATTGTGGTGAAATGCCATTTAATAATTTTTTTGACCCAGCTTAGTCCAACTATTTCTGATTTTTGCTGTAATGTAATTGGTTTGTATTGGTTTTTTAAATTCAGACGTTTGAAATTATTTTAAAGGACTTTATTAAAGGTATTTAATAAATAAAATATCACGTATGCTTAGTACTTAAATAGTACTACATACATAAACCGTCAAACTATTTGAATATATAAATTTTTTTTAAATGTTAAAGTAAATATTAGCATGGCTGTAACTCAATGGTCATATTTATATTGTTTTTATGATTGGTCGATTTTTTTTTGTTAACGCTATACCCTAAAACAGTTTTTAAGAATATTAAACAAACATATTTATTTTGTTCATGGTAAATATAAGTGGTATAATTCATTTTTGTAGAATACATCTTGCAAATGTGTTTTGTAATAATATGTATTTTGAATTTAAAATCATCATAGAGCTTATCCGCTATAAACGCATTTCAGTGGCGTTTTGTTACCTTATTATGATCACGGCAGTGTTCACATAAAACAATAATGTACTCTGAAGAGCGCGTTGTTCTACGGTGAATTACTTCTAAAACTTTGTCGGGACTGATAATGTTATGGCTGAAAATGCAAAACGAATATACCGAGAAGTGAGCATCCCTTTCATATAATACATGGGCTCCATTCGTTTAATGATCTTTCACTGTACCATTGCATAGCACCCCACCCCTACGGCCCTCTTAGCCCATCGGAGCGAAGCCACAGTCGTTTGCGGTAAACTGTGAAGAGCTCGTCTTGGCCATAAGGCTTCTCGAACTTATGATTTGTCGCACACTTTTGTGCTCATCCTACACACTTGTTGGGGCTAAAATATTTCACGTTTGTGGGTATATGTGTGTGCACTACTTTATTTTTTCTCCCATCATCCGGCAACAAGTGCATTTTGCTCTAAATACGCCTTTGTACGGATAAAACGATTATAAATTACAATAAACCCGTTTAAGCCTTTCATTCGGCATCCAACCGCTTAGAGTATGTTAATGGGATCAATATATTTTATAGAACTTTCCGTCGCACATCACATCAGTGTCTAGAAAGTATTTGTGCAAAATAATTCGATGAACGAACCATTCTTTTAGCGTCAAGCGTATGTATTCTTGTAAACAAAACTGAAAAAATACTCTTTATGATAAGAGAAAGAAACTTTTTTCCTTTAATAGTTCCGGTATTGTATAAAATAGACTAATCACCTGAGGAGTGACAGTGTTATTAAGTGTGTCTGGTCCATAACTGTAGACCACCCGTCAAACGAAGAATTAATGAGCTAAATCCAAATTATGCAGCCATTACATGCACAACCCCGATGATAGCTGATCAAATAAAATATTAAAACTAAATATCGTTTTTGGGTTCTATTTCCGAGTTCGACTTTGGGCCAGAAATTATCGCACCCTTGGTGCAAGACTGCCACTACTCAAAAATCTTAGTTTTGAGAAATTTCAATTTTAAAGGTTTAATTCTATTACTTTCCAATTATTTTTGTTAACCGATGCTTGTTATTTTAATTTTAAGCTTCTCAGTTAAACCTCAACCAGATACCAGAAGTTAAGGTTAAGGCGATTTAGCAAATAGTTTAAAAAAAAGTAAACCGGCACGTTTGGTTTTTGTAGCAATCGACCATTTCAAAACCAAATATTTTATACGCCATATCGAGAAACGTGGCAGTTATCTTGTTAAATGATTTTAATGCTACAACACAAAATGTGGCAGTTTATTATTTATTCACGGGTAACATCCGGTTACGAATAATTATTACGTTATTATAAACTCAAATTTCGAGTTGTGGCAGTCCCGCACCGAGAGTGATTTATACTCACAATCCAACAGATGATCAGGTCTTTTTTTTGTTTTTTTTTTAAGTTTACAATGACTATTACTTACTACATTTTTTTGGCGAGGACCATAATTACTGTTAGCCCCGTGTAAGTCTTGGGTTCGTGAGACGACGACGGTGCTTAAAAAACAAAAGGGCATTGTGGGGGGGAAAGGGCACGACGAAGGGGGGGCTCTTAGGAGAGTAATAGTACCCGTGGAGGGGAGGGGTGTTGGCGGGAAAGGGGCGGTAAAACGCCGAGAGAACGTGGGGACACGCCGAACGCGGTCGCTGTGCGTTTGCGCGGCTGTTCGATTGTGTGTGGTGTCGCGGTCACGTCCATACGGGCCACACACAGACTCTGTTTTCTGGTAGTGGTAGTTCGCGTTCGGCCGGTCAACCACGCGCGCGAGTGTTATCACTCTGTCTTGTCCGGCTTGACAATCGCCAAAAAAAAAAAAATAAATAACAGCCCATAACACGATATGAACATTTGTACACTCGTATAGCGCGTGAACACCTGTCGGCGAAGAGGCGTCGCAAGAACCGTGTTTCGATCGCCAGTCAAAAAGTTTTTTCCGAATATCGAAAAGCAAAATTTTTTTTTTTTTTAATTGTGCTCGTTAAATTTTTGTTTTTATAAACTCTCATCGTACCAGAGGAGCGTAGGACTCGAATGAGTGCGGTGTCGCCGATACCATGTTACCCGACGGTCGTGACGGTCGCCGAGACCGTCGGGTTGGTGGTCGCCGTCCGTCGACTCGGTACGTCGGCCGAGTCGGTGTGGTAGTGCCGGTAGCTAGACGGTCGGACGATAGACGAAGTACGTATAAGAAATAAATTTCAAAAAAAAAATAATAAATAAACAAATCGTTGGCCGTTGCTGTCAGCCACGAGAAAACGTGGAACGATAACGAAACAATTAGAAAAAAAAAGCCAAACTCGACCGCGACAACGAGCGTTCAGAGTCAAACAAAATAGCAGAAAAAAGGTCAGTAAACGTGTTTTTTTTTTAATTTTCAGAGATGATGATGATAATAACAATAATAAATATTATTATGATAATATTATTGTCTCTTTCTCTCTCTCTCTCTCACGAGCGCGACCGTCTCCCGTCCACAGCAGTAGCATTCCAATTAGGATGGCCGTCGTAAATCAACGGGTCGCGCGTTAAGCTCTGACAGTGTCATCCGATACAGTTACCCGGAGAGCACGCGGTGGCTGGCCGGCGGAAGCTGAGGACGTGGGGTTGACGTTAATTTATTGTGCTCGTAATGAGTCAGAAATCAAAATTAGCCTAACCCCCCCACCCCTTGTACCGGTGACCAAGAGCTGCCACACACGTCGCGCGGACCATTTGTCGCGGTAAATTTCACACACACACACGACTCCCCCCCCCCGCGAGAGCGTGACCTTCACCTACAAAAGAAAATATAAAAAATGAAAACCAAAAAACCGTCACGCGGTGTGTGTGTCAAACGCGAGTGGGGCGCAACGGTTTTATATTTTTTGAAAAAACCGCTGCCGAGTGTGCCGGTCGACACAAATTATTATTGTGCGAGTATGGAGTAGAGTTTCTTAAGGTGGGATATCAGCGAATTTTAACAATGACGGTTAAAACGCTATTCTTGTGAGTTCCGAAATGATGCGATCATCGTGATTTTGAGTACACGTGACAATATCACCTGTTAAGTTGAAGTATACATATTTTTAAATGTTTAATCTACGGATGTTCCGTTAATAAATTTAAGTTTTAACTTTAACCAATATTAATAATATAGAAATAGCCAATTGTTTAAATAAAAAAACTAATTCTTTAAGTGCATTTTATTTAAAAAACTGTATTATATTATAAGTCATATTTATATTAGCCATGACCGCAAGTTTCTCTTTTTAAAACAAATTCCTGAATTTTCTGAGAAAAATAATTATTTGTTTTGTTTATTCAATTTGAAAGTGTGGATAACCAATAAAACATGATTTTGTTTTCAATATGACTCTATATTGGTTATTATTTTTTTGTTAGATTATCACATCACCCACGGTTTTAATATTTTTATACTCTTAACATAGTTAAGCCAAACTTTCTTGGTTGATGATTGTTTCTAAGCAAATATATTCATTATGTATAGAATATAATACCTGGAGGCTGTACGTTGGCAGATTTTTGATAAATTGAAAGGATAATATAATAATAAAGTCTAAATGCGACCATGTTTTTGCGTACAAATGTACAGGTGTAATATTGTCTTAATAATTATCGAATTAGATATAGTTATGTCGCTAAGATATAGTTAGGTTTACGTTAGACATTTTAAATCGACTCGTCTCAAATCACCTACTAACGCGTTAACAAAAACTTTCGTTACGGTACGTTTTAACATTTTTATCTCGCGTCTTGGTTAGTGTTTTAAAAAAAAATTATTTTGGGAAACATCATTATAATATTATTATTGCCGCTGTCGTTGATTTATTGTTTTTCTCTCGATTTCACCCGGTAAACGGTTTATATACACACTAGAATAAATAACGATGCGGCGGCGGCGGTGATATTTAATGTTGTATTGGACCTCGGCCAGAGTCTTAATAAACGAAATTAAATTTGAACACCGATGCATTTTCTTTGCGCTTTAATACAATATCGCAGCACAATAGTCAAAGAAACCAAAAAAAAAAAATATTCATGCATTCACCAACAATAATTGCATACGCTCGCCGAGTTTGTACTACCATGAACACCACTGTTTGTATACACTTTTTATAATACCCGCAGAAAACCGTACACGTCATATTAATACTACTGTCGGTGTTGCGTTTAAAAAAAAAAGAAAAAGAAATTGCGCCATTTGTCTCCGGTTAGGTTGGGTCGACAGTTTTTTTTTGTACCCTGTTGTTTTGTCGTTCATTTTTACATTGGTATTTTTGCGCTTAACTCCTGCATTCGGGTCTGTAAGTCTCCAACGCTTTCCTATATATACTGATCTATTTTCACACATGATTGCGGCGGGCAAACTACTAGGATGGCGGGGGTGGCGGCGGCGGCGGTTATACATTATACGAGTATCATTTATGTCGCAGAAATCAACCTTGCGGAGAAAATAACCGAAAGAGGTACCTACCTCTACCCCCGACTTGCCGCTCGCGAAACGGTACGTTCATAAATCATTAATCTCTTAAACATTATGATCGGATAAAATATTGTGTACCACGTTGGCGACGACCACCGACGCGGTAAGAGTCCAAAAACGAGAACGGCCGTATTAGCGTTTCGACAATAATATATTACTCTACTAGTACTTATATTTACCTACGTTCTGAAAATAATCGAAATCAACAATATAATTATAGATAGAACCTGATCTTTGACCATAAATGTTTTTATTAAGACCACGGTGGAAGTTTTTATATTGTATGACTCTTCTTCTTCTCCTTCTCCTTCGCCACCCTTGTTACAAACCTCCACTCGACACAATCTCCCACACCATCTTCACATATCAGCAGTGCTCATATCGCTTTGAATCGCACACAGCTACTTTTTTTTCTGTTGTCTTCTTTCCGTCTTTCCTCCTACGTTTATTTTCATTACAATTGTTAATGCTTTTGATTCCTTCCCCCTCGTAACATGCCCAAACCATCTCAGTCTATTTTTTTTTCATTTTGTCCGTTTTTGAAGCAACCTCTTACGTATTCATTCCTCATCCTATCTTCTCTCACCACCGCACTCATCCACCTAAGCATTCCCATCACCGCTACACTCGTTCTCTGTTTTAGTTTCCTGTCTATCACCCAATATTCTGAACCGTGTAACATGATTGGTCTCACCAAACATCTTAAGCTTCTCTCCACTTGATCCAACCACACTTAGTCTTACGTTTTACATCCTCACCAAAGCCAACGGTTGTTTGTACAAAAGACCCTAAATACTTAAAACTTTCAACTTCGCCCACTAGTCACCGCTTATTGTCATTAATCGCCTAGTCTCGTCAACCTCTTGTCCTCTTCTTCCAACTCATACTCTATAATATATTCTGTTTTACTTCCACTAATTGTTAGTCCCTTTTCTTCAGGCGCTATTCTCCACTGCTCAAGCTTATTATGTTAACTTCTTCCAGATTTCCTCCAACCAAAACTATATCATTGTGTTCCCTTCGTTACTTTATCCATAACAAAAGGAAACAGGTATAGGAGAACCTTACCAAGGTCCAAAGCAGAACCTTGATGCATACTTTTTCTAACACTAAAATCTTCTATTACTCCACACATACTTTAGACATTCGTATTTCAACCCTTCATTCATATCCTCTATCAAACTACATAATACAAAGTTACTACATAGGTTTTTTATTCTTCTCCTTATACTTTTCCACAAGCTGTCTTACGTAAAACACCAATTTCGTCATCGATTTCCCTGGCATTTTTGGCTGTACGAGCACATATAATAAATATCCTTGGTGTACGACGACTTTCTGACATATTTACATTTTAAATTCTATGCGCCATTCTGGCAAAAATTCGTGATGTACACTATTCTATATAATATGATACAGAATACTGTCTACCGAACGTATGAATTAATTTGTTTCGAATCGATTAGGCGAGTATCTCAAATGTTTATTCAAATTATACCGCGTTATTTTGTACTAGTGGGAAATTTCCCAGCGGTAGTTTTTTTTGTCCTTTCCTAATCGATTTTCTATGTATAATATACAATAATAACAACACGATTATCGCAACTACTACAACAGGATATTTTGTTTAAAATAATAATTATGAAATATAATCAGTCATCCGGTATAGTATGTACGATTTACATTGGTATACCGCGTTCGGCAGATAAATTAACATATGCGAACGGATTAGAAGCCGCTGACGTGTTTTGTAGTCCGGAGCAAGTTTTCGGGGAGAGCTTTGTAAATTATTCGATATCAGTCTGCATAACCTGAAAGTCCAAAGTCACCCGAGTGTGCTTATTGTTAAACTTAAAACAACATTGCCGAAGACAACGCGAGTACCCACCCACCCTCCACGCCCTAAAATATCACCAACTGATTTAATCATAAACTATATTGTGTTCTAGACCCCTGTAACGGCGCTTCTGTCTTTTGTTCTTTCAATGTTGTTATATTATTATTATCAAAACGATTTCACGCAGTCACGGTTTCGTTTTTGAAAAACTCCGTTTATAACACATTTATTGTAATTATATTATTGTGTTTTCATAATTATAATATTGTAAAAATATCAAAGCTGGAGTGATATATAACAATTATCTTTGGGTATTTTTTTTTAAACTATAATAATATCTAAATTTTTTTTTTTAACAAAATGCAAACAAATTTTTAACCACTGTCATAATATATTTCATATCGTTATCATTGTATTCGCAGATAATACTGACATTGGATGCAATAAACTTAGACAAAAGTCAAAAAGTTAACTGTTAAAACCAATAATGTCATGTTTAGTATAATATTTATAACTAGGTACTTTCAGAAAAATATAACGATTATTATTATCGTAAAACAGCTCTGCCTTTTTTCAGCGGTAATCTTTCCTAATTCTATTCCTTTTCTTCTTACCCTTTATCTTCCGTCTCCTTGGTTGTTTTCTACACTTAGTATTGCTGATAAGGGAATCTTAATTTACATAACACTATTACAGTGTTGATTTTTATTGGAATCGAGAAACCCCGAAAACAACCCTCGACGACCCTAAAGCGAAAATTAAGATCTGCGATTACACGACCGTTACATTTACATAGGATTAATTTGTTTACACCGCCATTAAGAGAATTGCTGAAAAAAAGGATTCTTTTAACTATCTAATTATCTATTTTATTATTTTAGTATTAATTATTATTTTTTAACTCCTTTTATGTATATTATCGGCATTTATTCTTAATGCAACCATAATTACAAGACGTTTAAAAGTGTTTAGAATGTTTTAGATAAAACCAACAATTAGTATGGTTGAGTGCTTTCCTCGTTTAGT